TGCCAAAGACCATGAACATCAGAGGTGGTGACCTCATTAGTATATGTGTCTTTACTCACATGATAACATACTTCCAACTCCAGATCCTACTTGGACACGAACAGGGAGGGCATGTGGGTACCAGTTATTCATCCCTTTCTGAATGACCTGAATGATTGGGCACAGCTGTGGTTCAGTCACAGCTTGTCTTTTAGAAGGAGAAAACAAGCCCTTTCTTCACTCCACACTAGTGGGAGGTCCTTGCTTTCTTATATCAGGAACTCTCATCCTTATCACCCAGATACGTTTGGCCAGCTTGGCTACCTGGCTTGACCTAAAAATCAGGGTGCTGAGGTCTGAACTCTACAAGGCTTGGACTGACTGCCCTGCCTACTGGGATGGAGCAGCCACAGGGACCCCAAATGATGGCCTGCCCTACTGGCTCACATTGGATCACAAGGAGCTATAATTGTAGCTGTATATTCAGCCTGTTGTGGCCCATGACATTGAGGCCCCCAGGCTGAAGTTTGGGATGGAGATCCTACTCCAAATGATCCTGGAGCTAAATGGGGCTAAAGAGAAGCACACAGAGCTACAGCTCCCTCTGTAGGGGAGAGAGGGTGGACTTGAGTGCAGGTTGCCTCTATTTGTAGTGTTACATGCCCATTATGGAGCCTCAGTTGGCTCTACGTTCATGTAGTCATTCATCCTCTGTATATCCACCCATTCAGCTAACACTTGTGAAGAATCCACTGCATAATGTTCATTTCTAAGAGTGACATGTGTCCCCTTGTGTTAGACACACTCGGTACAGTCCCCAAGATACTGTGGATGGGTAAATCCCAATGGACGTCCACATTCTTCCACAATCCACTGGCTCTGGGCAAATCCTTTCTTCCTCACCTCATCTCCTTTTGGGCCTGTGTTGCTTCTTTTTCCAGCCCCCAAACTCTCTCCACTTTGAAAAAGATGTTTTTGGAGTTTTGCCCTTACTTGGGTGTCAGAAACCCACATCCATCCACCGCTCAGAAATTTCTCCATGCTCTCAGAGCTGTAAGGATCAAATAGAAAATCTTACCCAAACACTAGGAACTAAGTACCTTTAAGCTACTATAATAAAAACATCATAAGTTTATAAACAACTTTAATCACTGTTTGGAGGTTGAGAAATGCAGCTCGAAATTCCAGTGGATTTGGTATCTAGTGAAGCCTTGTTCTCTGGCTCACTGTGACCTAACTTGGGAAAAGGAACAAGCAATGGCCCTCATGATCTTATCATCTCCTGAGGACCTTCCCCTCTTGCTTACATCACATTAGAGTTTAAGTTTCAACATATGGATGTGGCTGACACAAACTTGCATTTAGAGCTTGCCAATATCAGCCACTGATTTTACCAGTTACTGAAAATGGTCATACCTATGGTCCCCTGTATTAAATGCCGTCTATTATTAACTCTTTGAAAACCTTATCAACTCATCTCTATTTGTTCTAGAATGGTGACTGGCCCTGTTTTTATTGTAAGGAGAATAGGGCTTGTCCTCTGGGCCCTGGATCCTGGGCTATCCAGGAGCTGTCCAGAAGGTCAGTTGTCTACACACACCGTGTGGCTCACACTCGAATGATAATGCCCATCTACGATTCATTGTTTTTCCTTAACTTTCCTCCACCAGCCAAAAAAAAAAAAAAAAAAAAAACCTCTCATATTTTTCTCAGTCTTCACAGGTGTCAAATTGTGCCCAATCTGCCTCTGTTCCTTGAAAGCATTCTCTCTGTCTTTATGAGGCTGAATCCATCATTTCAGAGACCCTTGCCTCCCTCTATGCTGCAGCCTATGACCAATTTGTCCTTCTTGGCACCAGTTTTCCCAGGGGGATCATCTCCTTTCTTTCATCCACTACATTTAACCACAGAGCCTCTGAATATCTGGTGTGACAAATGAACATCCAGGCCTTGCCCATCCTGAACACAAGGAGGCAGACAAAGATAACGTTAAGTCTGAGGTGGACTTGAGCTGGGAAATCAAAGGTATGTTCTTTTTAAGGTGCAAGATCTGGTGCATACTGCTTCTACTGTGTTCTAAAAGGACTATTGAGCTCTTACTGTAAACATATCTCTGTATGTTTCTCAGTACTGCAGATGCACGGGACACTTCCCCAGCGTGTGTTTTCAGTACACGTTTTGGAATTCTAAGAGTCATCCAATTTTTTAGAGCCTTAGCATAAAATAATTTGCACGTAGAGAAATTCAACTATGTTAGCCTCATTTTGGAAAATTTTGAAATGTGTGAGACTGCTACCACCAGCATATCAGGTATTAGACTGTTTTTCCACTCCAAGGACTTTCCTCAAACCATTTTACAGTCATCACTGCCTTCCACCTTGCTCTCTGGCAAACACCTAACTGCTTTCTGTTGCTATAGTTTGCTTTTTGTATAACATATGAAAGGAATAATTTGTTACTGACTCTGTGACCTTACCTAATTTTTGTGATTCAAAATATAGTTCTCTCTTTGTATTGTGGGGCAGTATTCCATATTGGGAGACACTACACTTGACTACTTCCCAGGAGATGCACATGTGAGTGACTTCCATGTCTGGTTATTTTTTATAAAGCCACTCTGAACATTTCCAGACATATCTTTGTGTGGACACATGCTCTTGTTTCCTTTGAGGTAAAGCCTTGACCAGAAAACTGCTGAGTCATGTGACAAGTGTGTGTTTATCTTTTCAAGAAAATGCCAAAGTCTCTTCCACAATGACTGGCTCCCTACCAGCCGAATGTGACGGGGCCAGTTGCTCTACATCCTCACCAACCCTTGGGTCTATGAGTATTAAATCTACCTCTGTTGAATCAGTGTGCAGCAGTATGTCATGGCTGATGTTTCCCTGGAGTTTTAGCCTGTCCTTGCATCTTCCTCTATTTGTCTCTCTGTCTCTATTTTTTTTTCTAGAGCACTGTATGAAGTGTGATCAACAAATACATAAATCTTTTAATAAAAATTTTAAAAATGTATTATACTGAAAGACTTTGCTATTAATACCCTTCAAAATTCTCCCCCTCCCCTTGTACTTTTTTTGGGGGGGAGGGGGTACCAGGTATTGAACTCAGGGCCTCGTGCTTGCCAGGCAGGCACTGAGCCACTGAGCTACATCCCTGGCCCACCTTGAATATTCTTATCCCATTGTTCTTGCCACTGTCTGAAGTTGTTCTGGAAGTTCTCTTTCATGAGTGCTTGTTGGGCTGCCCCCGTTTCCTAGATAGATTTAGAATGTTTTGGTAATTTCTGTGATATAAAAACATTATGGTGTGTCCTCATCCACTGGATCTGGCATCTGACACCTCTGGCTCTTCCCTAATATTAGAATGACAATGAAAGGCAAATATTTTGAATTGATTCAGGACATAGAAGCAAGGTCAACAGCACAACCAATTGTAAATTTGCAACTTCTCCCCAACATGAAAATTCCAAGGATAATCCTCTTCATTCTACATTTTTACTATCACCTTGGTCATCATCAATGTCAGGGCTATGGTAGGATGGTGCAATAGTGACAGAGCACTTGGGGACGTTCACCCCAACAGTGATAGACAGCAGCTCTGGGATTAGAAAGAAGCACTGTGCTGTCCTGTTATCATGAAGAAGCTTTTACAATGATCCTGAGCTTGAAGAAGCTGCAGATCTCTCAGCAGCCACAGCACAGCTACTACTTAGGTAAAGATAATGAAGGGCAGAGAAAGTATCTTCCAAAGCAAGGGCTGGGACCATGGCTTGGACCAGCAAGATTTGGATAGGAAACATTGAGTCAACTACAGGTGGAACTCAAGATGTCCTGTCACTGTCTGTGTACTTGTTACTGTAACCTACTTGCAATGTGGATATTATGCTCAGGAAAAGGCCAAGAAGAGAGGAATGGAACACTGGGCTATGGGAACCTAAGCCCATTAGGGGTTGTATGAAGAGGCCAAGCCTGGTTGAAAATAGGTACTAGAAGTCACCGGAGGTTGAACCTGTATCATTTCCTCCACAAGTCAGGCTGGGCTGGCACTCCCAGCAGTTTCTCTCCTTTCCGTGTCTTGCAAAGATTTTCCAAGGTTTGGAATCTTTCAATTATGGCCCTAGCTCACAAGAGGTACCATAGGCACAGGAGAGCCCTCCAGAGTCCTCAGCTTTGAAATCAATAGGTTCTGTTATGTGTTTCTCAAGTGGATAAATGAGTATAAACTCCATTTTGGCAGAAGTGGCATTTTGGCAGGGAAGGTACCGGGTAGGGGAGGATGAGTAGAGAGGTTAGGTCTGTGAGAAGTGCTAGAACCAGGTGTAGTGGCACACACCTGTAATCCCAGCACTCTGTGAGGCTGAGGCAGGAGGATCACAAGTTTGAGCCCAGCCTGGGGAACTTAGTACCTTAGGGAGACCCTATTTCACACTAAATAATAAAAAGACACCATGGATTTAGCTCAGTGCCATGGCCCTGGGTTAAATCTCCGGTACCAAAGGGGAAATAAAGTACTGCCAGAGTCTCCACTGTGTTTGTGACAAACAACCATGACAGAATAGGGAGGGGGTGGCTGTTAGAGATCTTCAGACAGGAATACGAGGGGATGAGAAACCTTGAAAGGAAACCAGTCAACTATGAGTCCAAGAGGCAAAGAGGAGCCCTCAGCATGAAGGGCACACCCTCACCTCTCTGCTTTTGTTCAAGCTGTTCTCTTTAATTTCTTGCTCCCTCCAGATGGTTTCTCCTCTCATGCCTGTGACTGCAAAAAAGTGGACTGAGTGGCTCCAGAGAGGGAAGAGAGGGTTCCTGCTGTCTGAAAAGCACCTTCAAAGGATGCTGAATGAAGAAGAAAAAGGAAGAAGAGAGGCAGCCATGTGCTGCATGCTGGCCACTGGCTCCCTGTGACCTCTGCCCAATCAGTGCCACTCCGCAGCAGCACCCACCTTTTCTGGCCCACTCAGTGCCCCAGCTCCTCCCTGATGGGTTCAAACTCCAACCTGGGCCACACTGCAGTGAGGCTGCCTTTGGGTGAAACAGAGTGCATCCCCAGTAGCACAGGACACGCAGGCAGACTGACCATGCGACTGGACAGACTTCCTATCCTACTGAGTGCTGTGTCCTGTGGGCTCCTAATTCTTCTAGTTCCAGGCCAAGGTGAGAGTTTTGCAGAAGATGACAGGTACTGGGGTCACATTTCCCAAACTGATACAGCCAAAGCCAGAAACTGCAGGGGCAGAGGGAGTGAGGTGAGAGAGAAGTGACAGGGAGGGAGGAGATGGAGGAGATGTCAGTTGATAGTGTGGGAATTGTGTGCCCACAAAATGCCCAAATCCAAGCCCCCAAGATGGGCCCAGAAGCTCTAAGAGTATCAGGGTTGCCTGGGGACATCCAACTCCAAGAGAATCCAGTGTGAGTATTGCTAAGAAACACAGGACAGGCAGGTATGAAGTCTGGCAGAGGAGCTGGGATTTGGGGCATTTCCTTCTTGGATGTTTGGCTGTGGCTGTAGCTGCTCATGGCCCTTTAATGATAATGATAGTAATGACTTCCTGGTGCTCTTTGTCTCTGAGTGTGACACCCTCTTAGCCAGAAAATTGCCCTAGCACTCTCCAAAGGAAAGGTAACAGGCCATGAGGGACACAGAAGCCCCTGGGCACCACATCCCAACGCTGAACTGAGAGGCTATGGGATCCCTTCTCTCCAGGTCCCCGACATGGGGCAAAGGCATGGATTGATTTCCAGGGCAAAGGTGATGTGCTGTATCTCGGTCAGGTAGTCTTAGGCTCCTTATCAGGAGCTGATGCCAGGAGGGCTGTATTTGCAGGGTGTGTTTGCAGCCTTTGATCTTCTGAACCAAAGGGTCCTGGTGTGGGGTCTGATATCTGCCCCACCTTTCCCCAGTGCAATCTGCCCTAGAGGAATCCTCACTACTTCACCCCTATAGTGCACCCTGCTCAGCTTCCTCCCTTAGCTGCTATTGACCATGCTTTTCCAGTGCACCAGGATTTCCAAACCAGAGGATCTTCCCAAACTCACCTATGGCTCCTTTTTAAAGTCTTTACCTTGTATTTATGTTTATCCAGTATCTTTGAGGAGCCACAAGAGGGCACAAGGCTGGGGCCCACTCTCTTCTGGCTCATTTAAACTTGAGTCCTCATCAGGATCATCAAAGACACAGTTTCTTCTACATTGTGTTCAAGATTGTGACTAAGAATATAGATGTGCACTTGTCCTTGGTTTTAATCTAAATGGTAGCAAACTTAGGCCTTTCTGATCTGGCATTTTCCCCTCCTGGTAGTGGGGAAGCCTTACACCATTACATGAACAGATTCCTATTCAAGGATGCAGCTCATTGGATGTACCTGGTCCCCCAGCAGGCACATTGCAGCAGGCTTCGTCCTGTGCTGTAACAAGCATCAGGAATCATTTCGTGGTGGTCACAGTGCATTAAATGGATGGAGGCCTACTGGCAATGTATCACATGTAGGCAGGGAGATAAGTGGATCTTTTACATAGAAAGATGTTAAACTGCCCTTTCTGGTGCCTGGGAGTGGCTGCTCTCCTGTTCTTAGCAGTACCAGATGTTTGTCCATGTGGATCTGGTGGGGAAGGGAGCATTAACTCACCATGGAGTTTGAGGGTATTTAACTTTTTCATGTGGAATTTAGCCCAGATCTGCCATATTCTACAGAGGAAAAAACTGTGACAGCAGTGGGTGGTGCCCAGGAGATGTCATTTGTTAGGGATGACAACAGCACAGGAACTGTGGGCCTGATTGGACATCTCCCTGCACCCTGAGGCCCACTGAGCAACAAGGCTGAGGCAGGGATGCACAGCATTGGTTTGAGGTAGAGAAGAGTGAACAAGCACTATGTGTCCATCATCCATTTTCAACAGCTATCAGGACTTGGAAAACAGTATTATTTGAACCATTCTGATGCAATCAACTGTCTTCCCTTTCAGCCTCAGGCAAACCAGGCTTTGTATGTTCAGTGACAGTATGCATTTCTATCCTAGTGCTCCCCAGAATACCACTCCCTGCATGCAGAATGCTTTCTTTATATCACCATGAGTGTGAGATCCCTGAGGACGGGAGACTTTTCAGCCAATTCCCAGTCCTCCCATTGTCTCACAGACATGGCAGGGTTAGTGCAAATTCTATTCTCACCAGATTGGAGTGTGAAACACTTTGCTAGATGGTTCTAGAGCTGAACATTGGTTCTAAGCCTCAAGAAGCTTGAGTGGGCCTCATGGGATATGCTGGGGCCAGGCCTAGTATCAGTACTGTTTGGATAGGAGAGAGTGAGTTAGTTCAGGACATGTGTGAGGACAGTGTTTATGGATCAGGGTCTCTTGACATTGCTGAGGTGAGCATGGCAAGGAGGTAGCAACACCCACAGTGTAGGAGGGAGCTGCAGTGGCACATCCAACACTGCTATGCAACTTTCTATCTTTAGCCCAGGACTCTGCCAGCCTCATCAGGGACACAAACACAGGGAAGGTTCGGGGCAGCCTTGTCCAAGTGAATGGCACCGGCATGGGGGTCTACACCTTCCTGGGAATACCCTTTGCCAAGCCACCTGTAGGACTGCTGAGGTTTGCACCACCTGAGGCTCCTGAGCCCTGGAGTGATGTGAGAGATGGGACCTCTCACCCTGCCAGGTAAGCTCTCTGGGGAGCTAAGGAAATTGCAGACACTGGGGAGAGTTCTGGTGCTCTTATATCTGGCTAATCTGCAGTAATTCTAGATCCCAAAGCCAGTTTTTTCTGCCTTGGTGGATTTCCACAATGAATGTGTGAGGCTGCAGAGGGTGGAGAAACATTGACAAGTCTTGGCCTTGGGCCTGGGAGCCTGAGGGCATTAGCTCCTGTTCCAGAAAAGAGGAGCAGAGGCACATTTCTCCCCTGATTTGTGTTATGCCTACTCTTCTGTGCCACCAGGAGAAGTGATTCTGGGACATGGTCAGGTTAGCTCTGTGAACTTTTGGGAAACTCTAACTAAAGCAGCAGATACGGAAGATGCCTGAGGAAAGCATCAGCAGTGGCTCTTTGGAGACCCTACCCTCCAGACTCATTGTACATGTTGACTAGACCAGGTACCACTGGCAAAGGAACAAATCTACGATGTTTCAAGTGGAGATCTATGGGTGGGATGAGTTTCCCTGACAGTCTAGTCTTGGGATGAAGTACACCTCACTAATCTTCTTTGGGAAACAAACCTCATTTCCACCTGCAACATCTGTTTGGAGGCTCCTCCCCTGTTCTAGAACCAGATGGTTATAGAGATAAATGGTGAATGTCAACACCTACAGCCAATGGTTCCCATAGACACCGAGTAGTCATGGTTCTTCAGCCTCAGGATAAGGGGAATCCAAGTCTCCATCAAACCTAAGCACTCCCTGGAAGCCTGAGCTCTATCCCAGGTTCCTCCGAGCCTGTGGCCTCTGCCTGTATATACCGGAGGGAAAGATCATGTGTGAACAGGGCATTATGGGGAGCACAACACTGAGGGTTGGAACCAAGTTTGGACCCAGAGTCTGGTTTTCACTATTGCCCAATTCCTATATTAATTAACATTTTTTCCAGGTGTCTGCAAAATGCTGATACAATGAATGCACAAGTTCAGATGCTACTAGATGTCACTGTGCCTACCATCCGAATGTCTGAGGACTGCTTGTACCTGAACATCTATACTCCAGCCCATGCTCATGAGGACTCTAAACTGCCTGTGAGTGACAAACTATGATGAGCTGGGAAATAGGAAGATATTTATTTCTCCAAGATCAGAAGTTGCCTGGGGATATGGGTCAGTGGTATATTACTTGACTAGTAATACAGGACTAGTCAAACACTGAGCAACACACACACACACACACACACACACACACACCAGACAGAGAAAAATATTAAAAGGAACAGGATTAGTTTGGGTCCTGCTACAATGTAGACCCTGCTGAGAAGCCTTTCCCTATGGGGTAACTATGTGGGTAACTGACCTTAGGTGTAATGGCACCCTGGCTCTTGCTAGAGATCAGAGTTTTGTGCCCAGTACAATGCCTTGGGTGCCCAGGAACTATAGTTTGATATCACCAAAGACTTTAATCATGGTTTATATATTGTGCCAGTGAGATTACTTAACACTTTTGATTAACATTCGGGTGGGACAGCCAAGGAAAGCCATGCTCCTTTCATTTGGAAAGTGTCTGACAGTAATACAGCTAGGCTTGCATCCATGGGGTAAATGGTAAAATTGGAGAGTCCTGGTCTAGTGAATTGAAATGGGACCAACACTCTTGGCCCAGATGATGAAGTTCTACTCGACTTCTGCCTATGTGGGTAGCTCCACGGAGTCAAAGCAATGGATAGCCTATGTGTAACTGAGGTGGGTGTGAGCTGGGTGAGACCCATGGGGAATCTCTCTTGATTTCCCAAGGTGATGGTATGGATCCATGGTGGTGCACTAGTTGGAGGTATGGCCTCCATGTATGATGGATCCATTCTGGCAGTCTCTGAGAACGTAACGGTGGTCATTATCCAGTATCGTGTGGGTGTCCTGGGCTTCTTCAGGTGAGTTTGGGGCTGGGGTGGGAAATGCGGATGGAGCATATCCCAGCAAAGCCCATAACCCCTGTCCCTACCACTTCTAGCACTGGAGACCAGCACGCCTCTGGCAACTGGGGTTACCTGGACCAAGTGGCTGCCCTACACTGGGTGCAACAGAATATTGCCCACTTTGGAGGCAACCCTGACCGTGTCACCATTTTTGGCCAGTCTGCGGGTGGAACAAGTGTGTCCTCACTTGTCGTGTCCCCCATGTCTCAAGGACTATTCCATGGTGCCATCATGGAGAGTGGGGTGGCTGTGCTACCTGGCCTCATCTCCAGCTCCTCTGAGGCTGTCTGCACAGTGAGTGTCCTCAACCTCCCCAGCCCAGGCTGGCTCCCTCTCCCCTCACCTTCAGAGCCTCTGCTTGTGTTAGTTCAGGGGGCACAACAAGGGAAGTTGAGACGATTTGAGAACTGATGGCTTCCTGCGAATTGCTGAGGGCCCAAGAAACAGAATTCACAAAACTCTTCCTCTCCCAGGCTGAGTATTTTTCTTGGCAGGCAAAGCTGGGAACCCACCATTTGCAGATGGAAGGGAGGAAGTTGGAACAACTTCACACCTGCAGCAATTCATACAGGGTACCCTGGGAAATGTGGAGGTCATTTGGACTCAACATTTCCTTGAGCACACCCCTTCCTCTGCCTGAGAGGATGAGCCAGCCCTCTTCAATCCATTTATAGGAAGTGGCCAAACTGTCTGGCTGTGGCCAGGTAGACTCAGAAGCCCTGGTGAGATGCCTGCGAGGCAAGAGTGAAGAGGAAATGCTGGCTATTACCAAGGTCAGGATGAATGTTCTCAGGTGTGGAGGAAGGCGGCTCATGGTATGTGGGAGAAACAGTCCCTACTCCTCTGGACTAATTACCTCCTCTCTATGTCTTGGTGTCCTCACAGTTCTAGATGGGAATGAGGCCCTAGGTACATTAAGGCCATTGGGCATTATCTCAGGGTGGGCAGGAGCATCCTGGAACGAGTTAGAAAAGAGTGGTGATCTGGGCCTGAGAATATATATATGACCTGACTTTGGTCACTGACCTTTAATGTCCCCTCAGACCTTCAAGATCATTGCTGGTGTAGTGGATGGTTCTTTCCTGCCCAAGCACCCTAAGGAGCTGCTGGCCTCTCCTGATTTTCAACCTGTTCCTAGCATCATTGGTGTCAACAATGATGAGTATGGCTGGATCCTTCCCATGGTGAGGCCCAGTAGTCTGGGGCATTGAATCAGGGTGCACAGGTTCTTAGGACTACACTGATATAGGTCTGTCCACACAAAACTCTATGCTTCATCTCTCTGACCTCTAGTACCTGGGCTTCCCTGGCAATCTGAATGACATGGACAGAACGACCATACAGGTTGAACTGCAGATCATGTCAGCACAGATGGTGAGGCTCCTGGGTTCCTGCTCCAATGGACATGGCTCTGCCAAATTCCTGCCCTTTAGCAATTCCCACAAAGAAAGGTTGACATATGTCTCTGTCTGTGGGTGGGGTCACCCCTCTGCCTGATCATTTCTTAAATTCCCAGTCCCAATCCAGGCTTCATCTCCCCACTTTGAGCTCGTGACCATCTCCCCTACCCTGAAGCCCACCTAACCTGACTCTCCATGCTGCCCCTGAGCTAGATGCTGCCTTCTAAGTTTGGTGATCTGGTGATGGATGAATACATGGGAGACAATGAAGACCCCCAGACCCTCAAAGTTCAGTTCTTGGAGATGATGGGAGACTACCTCTTTGTGATCCCTGCACTTCAAGTAGCACATAGTCAGCGTGAGTATGTTTGTAATTGAGGCCTCAGTATCTAGTGGGCAGCTTAGATCTGTGATTCCAGCTCTGGTCCCTTGTCTTTGTGATGGTGCTAGTGCCAGGCAGTTGATCTCCCTCATCTCAGTAAATTCTCATATTGAAATGATAGCAAAGACAGAAATGCTGGAAATATCACATTTTTCTACTTCAAAATATACTATGAAACCATACTTTCCAAAACAGCATAGTATTGGACAAAGATACAAGCATAGATCAGTGGAATAGAATGGAAGACACTGAAATAAACTCCATCTAAGTACATCCATCTGATTCTTGAGAAAGGAGCCAAAATCATAAATTAGGGGAATGATAGCCTCCATAACTAATGGTATTTAGAAAACTGAAGAGCCACAAGTTAAAGATTGGAACCAAACTCTTATCTCTCATCTATGAAAATCAACTCAAAGTGGAACAAAGTCCTCAGTTTAAGATCTGATAACTTGAAACTCATAGAAGAAAACAATCAAAGTCATAGGCCCAGGCCACGTTTCCCTGAATAAACTCCAATACTACAGCAAATTTCAGCAAGAATCAACAAAGATGACTCCATCCAGTTCAAGAGCTTCTGCACAGCAAAGGAAACAATCAACAGAGTGAAGGGGTAGCCTATAGAATGGGAGACTATCTTTGCAGGCTAATTTTCCAACAGAGGATTAATGTTCAGAATATAAGGAGAACTCAAAACATTTAACACCAAATACACAGACACAAACACAAACACAAAAACAAAATTCAAACAGCCCGATAAAACTAAACTAAAAATGAATTTGGAGACATGTCTGAAAAGAAGTACAACGGGGTGTGGTGTTACACAGCTCTCAGGAGGTTGGACTACATAGTGAATTCAAGGACAACCTGACTACATAGAGAGACCCTATTTCAAAGTTGAAGAAACAAAAACAACAACAAAATAAGAAGTATAGATGCTCAATAAGTGTATGAAAACCATTCAAAATTTTTAGGCATCAAGGAAATGCAAATCAAGGCTATGTTGAGATTTCATTTCACCGGAATCAGAATGGTGTCATCAGCCAGACATAGTGTCAAATGCCTGTCATCCTAGTACTCTGGGAGACTAAGGCAGGAGGATTGCAAGTTCAAACTCAGCCTGGGGAACTTAACAAGACTCTGTTTCAAAATTAAAAATTAAAAAGTCCTGAAAATGTAGCTCAGTGCAAAGGCCCCGGGTTCAATTCCCAGTACTGCTGAATAACTAACTAACTAACTAACTAAATAGTTAATTGGCTTATGTACACTTGGCAAGGTTGGGTGTTGAGTTGAAGAACAGGCTAGGCAATGGCTCAGAGAAGCCTAGGAAATTGTGGTTAAGGAGAAAATATTTGCAATCAGGAAAGGAATTGTAGAGAAATGGAAGTTCGCAGAAAATCATAGCCTCTTCTAGACTTGGAATTAAGACAAATGAAAGAGAATAACTTAGCAAAGAGAAAGAGAAGACTTCCAGGAATCAAGCAGGAGCCCACAGGAAGGATAGCAATCACTAAGCAACTGAAGACAGTGGTGGTGGGGGGGGAGAGCAGGCTGGAACCCTGACTCAAAACACTTAACAACAAACAGCCTCCTACCTCACAAGCGGAAGGACCTGAGCTCAATCCCTGGTACCAAAAAAATAGGACTACCACTTGACCCACCTGTATAACTCCTTAGTATATTCCCAAAGGAGTTAAAGTCAGCATACAAGGGTGAGCAAAAACTCGTGCTGCAGGTCCCCCCCCCCCCGCCCCCGCTGTGCCCTGCACGTCCCAGTCTCCTCTCTCACTCCTTCCCACCCTCCCCTCAGAGCTGGCCTAGCCGGCTTCCACTCAGTCTCTCACGAATATTGAGCAGCCCCTGTTGTATTTCCCGAGCTCCATTGTGGAAGCCAAGGCTCACCATATTGTGTGGAGGCGCTGATCCCAGAGTCTTGGTCCAGCTGTGGCCAGCAGAGCCCCGGGCTGGGGCAGGAGCTTCAATGTTCAGGTTGTGCAGATAAATGGAACTCAACCATTAAGCAAAACATGGGAACTGAACTTATCCTAATTACAACGAACACCTCAGGAGGCAATAGCAGATGGCTAGGAAATTGTGGTTTCACCTAGAAGTCTTCACAGTGAATTAATGTGCCCAATTTGTTTGGATATGTTGAAAAACATGACTACAAAAGAGTGTTTGCCCTGTGTTTGTGCAGATTGTATTATCACAGCCCTAAGAAGTGGTAACAAAGAATGTCCTACCTGTCGGAAAAAACTAGTTTCCAAAAGATCATTAAGGCCAGACCCAAACTTTGATGCACCCATCAGCAAAATTTATCCAAGCTGCGATGAGTATGAAGCTCATCAAGAGAGAGTATTAGCCAGGATCAGCAAGCACAATAATCAGCAGGCACTCAGTCATAGCATTGAAGAAGGTCTGAAGATCCAGGCCATGAACAGATTATAGTGGGGCAAGAAACAATAGATTGAAAATAGTAGTGGAGCAGAAGATAATGGTGGCAGTTCACACTGTAGTAATGCATCCACACATAGCAATGAGGAATCAGGCCCTAATAACAAAGGGACCAAAACATCTGATGATTCTGGGCTTGAATTTGATAATAACAATGCAACAGTAGCAACTGATCCAGTAATGGATGGTGCTAGTAAAATTGAGTTAGTATTCAGGCCTCATCCCACATTTATGGAAAAAGATGACAGTCCACAGACAAGATACATAAAGACTTCAGGTAATGCCACTGTTGATCACTTATCAAAGAATTTGTCTGTGAGGTTAGCTTTAGAAGAACTTCAAAGCAAAGGAGAATCAAACCAGATGAACCTTGATACTGCCAGTGAGGAGCAGTATACCATTTATATAGCAACAGCCAGGGGCCAGTTCACTGTATTAAATGGCTCTTTTTCGTTGGAATTGGTCAGTGAGAAATACTGGAAAGTGAACAAACCCATGGAACTTTTTTACACCCCCATCAAGGAGCACAAATGAGCTTTTAAAAACCAAATCTGGCCTGAGCTTTTTTTTTTTTTTTGGTACCGGGGATTGAACTCAGGACCTTGTGCTTGCAAGGTAGGTGCCAGAACTACTGAGCTAAATCCCCAGCCCTTGTACTGAGCTTTTTTTTATAGCCTAATTCTTTAATATTAAAGATGTGCCATCATTACTTTTATGGACAGAAAAAAGGGTGAGCAAAAGAACGGTGAATGTTTAAATTTTTTAAAAAATTTAATACAGTAAAGGACACATTGTCAAGAACGTATGTTTGAATTGAGGGGGAGTGTATTGATTATTTTTAGGGGGATTAATGGCAATACATTTTTTACTGTAATAAACTCTTAAATTTAAACTTCATTGTGTTTTCTGATCCCACCATGTACTATAGATAGCCACATACCCATTTTTATTGCAGTACAGTTCACCATGGCTAAGCTAAGGAAATAATAGCTCAGGTGCCCATCAACAGATGAGTGGATAAAGAAAGTATGGCATATAGACACAATAGGCTGTTACTCAGCCAAAACCTAGAATTCACATCATTTGTATGAGTATGTATAGAACTGGAGATTATCATGTTAATAAGAAGACTGATCAAATCAAGTACAGCATTGGATGTTTGCTCTCAATATGAAGAATCTGAGGACAAAAGAAAAACAAAAGAAAGAAAGAAAAAAGAGAAAGATGATCTGATTGTAGAAGGGGGAATAGTAGAGAAAAGGAAGCAATTTAGGGGTCTGAGAAGAAAAGCTCGAGTCGTAACTGGGAGAAATTCATCCAAGAATGTTTTGTTTGCATACGAAAGTGCCAAGATGAAATGCACTAGTCTGTATAACCAATATGTACTAATAAAAAAATCCCCAGGGTGAAGTGTATGAGACAGACATTGTACAGGTGAGGAAATTGAGGAGAATAGTGTACAGCGATTTGCCCAAAGTCCTCTGCTGGGAAGTTCAAGGCCATGACTTATTTGAGGCCCTTCCCATTGCTCTTGCTCCAGCTTGGTGACCCACTATTCAGATTCTAGCCAGTTTTTCCCTAGGTATGACATCATGAAAGATGAGGCAGCAGTGCTCCAGGTAAGTGGTCACCAAGTCACACCCTCTCCACATCCTCAGGTACCCATGGCACTGTTTACTTCTATGAGTTCCAGCATCCTCCCTCCTACCTCAAAAACCTCAGGCCTCCCTATGTGAAGGCTGACCATGGCGATGAGGTTCCCTTTGTCTTCAGATTTTTCTTCCACGGCATACATCGTGAGTGTTCCCTGATGTCCATGCACAGGTATAGAGCTCTGGCTAGGTCCCTGAGGAGTGACTGCCTTCACTGTCAACTTGGGGAAACTGAGGCCCAGAGAGAGGCTGTGATCAGCATCCACAATTTTAAACCTCAAAGGTTTATGGTGTGATTAGAATCCAAATCCTTCCACTCTAACCTGTGTTCTTTCTTCCAACTGTCCCCACCTTACCATGGCCAGCAGGGTACACAGTGGGATTCACAAAGGCATATTTGTTTCTTGAATGACTTCTCAGTGTCAGAAGGAAGAAGGAGACTCCTGGAACAAAAATGATCCCAGAATCAATTCAGCTAAAGGCTGGGATGAGGATGGAAATTTAGGCAAGGAGAGGGGCTAGGTCCAGGGAATATGGGGGAGCAAGGGACCAGGTGTGGGGTAAGAGTTAGGCTGCAGCTGGGTGGTGAGTGTGGTGCATGAAGGACAGCAGGACAAGAATCCTCCAGGACCTGGGGCCCTGTCCTCTTCCTTCTGCAGTTAACTTCACCGAGGAGGAGAAGCTGCTAAGCGTAAGGATGATGAAGTACTGGGCGAACTTTGCCAGAAATGGGTGAGATGATGCCCCTCCCTCAACCTCCCCAAGGGACTTGAACCTATCAGGCCCTCTTCTTGTCTGTGGTGACCTCATTACCATACATTGTCGTAAATTACACTATAACAGCCTCCCAATGCCAGGACCCACGTGGACATAGACAGAGAGGGGCCTTATCAGTACAAGTCACTTAGCCCCTTCTCATTGACCTGGAGGGTGGCGCACATGCTGTGGTTCAGTCACAGCCTGCCTCTGAAAGGGAGGAAGAAAACAGGTCCAGGCAACCAGCTCACATGAAGGGACACTAGTGGGAAGTCCTTTCTTTCCTATATCTGGACTCCTGCAATGGTCCCTAGGCCTGCTTGGCTTCCTAGCCTGATTTAAATCAGGGCACTGAGGGCTGAGCTGTGCAAGTCTCAGATTGACCTCCCTCCTGCTGGGAGGGGGTGTCCACAGGAACCCCAATGGTGAGGACCTGCCCCTCTGGCCTGCATTGGACCATGAAGAGAAGTACCTGCAGCTGAACATCCCGCCTTCTGAGGGCCGTGCCCTGAAGGCCGCTAGGCTGAAGTTCTGGACAGAGACCCTGCCTGGCCAGTTGGGGGCTGCCCAGGAGAACCATGCAGGTCCTCAGTGGCCTTTGTGCTCCACTCTGCTATTATTTGCATTGAGTCTGCACACACTGTGAGGGCCACCACTGCATGATCATTGTGAATCTGCAAAGAGGTTGATCTGTAAGGTATTTCTTCCTAGTGGGATTGGGGTTTAGAAACTCCACACATGTCTAGCAGAAGAAGTCCTGTCCCCTGTCTCCCTGAGAGTCTTTCTATCCAAGGAGGTGTCCTCCTGCATATAAGAATTCTCTTTGCATTTTCCTCACTCCCTGATGCTCACTCATCCTTCTTTGTCATCATGTGACTAATTTTCTTTCTCATCTCATTGTTTTCCCTAAGGTTTTTTTGGCTCCTCCAATAAAAACCTGCCATGTATTATTTTTTCTCATACAAAGATGCCAAACTGTGGTCAATCTACCTCTTTGTTCCCCCAAAGTGCTTTGTGTCATTAAAAGGCTTTATCCTTTATCCCAACCCTGGGACCCCCATCCTCCTAATTCCCCTACTTCTGACTCACTTGTCCTCTGAGGGTACCGGTTTTCCCTGAAAGTCCACCACCCCACCATTATATCTGAAGAAAGTCCACCACCCCACCATTATATTTAAACTTAAATACAGAATATCCTGAATTTTGGTTTAAAGATGAAGATCCCCACATTACCCAGGCTGGACTCTAGGTGGCAGGGAAGGATAACGTTAACCCTGGGTTGAGGACTTTGGAAGGTAAGAGACCTTTTCAGTGCACCCCACGAGCGTATATTTCCACTGAATCCTGAAAGCTTTACTGAGCTCCCGAAGCCAACATGCCTTTGTATAGTTTTCAGTTCTAAAGATTCATAGGACACTCCTCCACAGTGGGTTGCCTAGGTATTTCTTAGATTTTAGAGCATTGGAGAGTGTTTTGGGTGTTGAAGGGGGGGGTGCTCTTAATTTTTAAGAGCTTTCCTGTGAAACATATATAATTATGTTTATCCATTTGGGCCATATAGTTTGGTAAATGTGAGTAAATATGTGAGAAATCCAACCACCAGCACATCACAGTCAAAATGTTTTTTCAATGCCAAAACTCTCCTCACACCCCTATACAGTCATCGCTGCCCTCCATCCTGCTTCCTGGAAACTGCCTAACTGCTTTCTGTTGCCATACTTTTCTTTTTCTGAAATATCTTGCAAAAAGAGTCATTTTTTACTGGCTCTGTCACTTACCATAATGTATTTATGATTCAAGCTTTACTTCTCTGGGGGGCAGCGTTCCACGTAGGGAGACACCACACATGTCCACTTTCCAGCTTACACACACCTGAGTGACTTCCATGTTTGGTTATTTTTATTTTTATTTTTATTTTTTTTTTGGAACCGGGGATCAAACTTGGGACCTTGCGCTTGGGAGGCAAGCGCCAGAACCACTGAGCTAAATCCCCCAGCCCATGTTTGGTTATTTTTAATAAAATTGCTTCAAATACTTTCAGACTTGTTTTGTGTGGACACATGTTCTCATTTCCTTTGGGGTACAGAAATGAGAGGAAAATTTCTGAGTCATATGACAAATGTGTGCTTACCTTTTAAAGAAAATTCTAAACTCTTTTCCACAATGACTGTGTGATTTGCCCCTGCCACACACACACACACACACCAGCCATATATGATGGGGCCAGTTGATCCACATCCTCATCAAGATTTGGAGTTGGGTCTTAAATTTGATTCTATTGATTTGATTTGATTCTATTTCTTTTTTCTTTCCTTCTTTTCTTTTCCTTTTTTTGCCTGGGCTTGCACCTTTCTCTGTTTATCTCTTTGTCTTTCCCTGTGTCTCTCTTTCTGCATCACTATATATATATGTAAGTTTTCAACCTCCCCCCCCAACACTCTTGAGACATTTATTCATTATACATTTTTACTACTACTTTGATCATCATCATTGTCAGGGCTTCATTAAAATGATGCAGTAGTGGGGAGTACATGGGACCTTTCACTCTAGCAGTAGTGAACAGCAACCCTGGGATTAGGAAAGAGCACTGTGTTGTCCAGCTAACATCTAGGAGTTTGAATTGAACCATGACCTTGCGCTAGGAGGAGCTGGGGCTCTCTCAGCACCCACAGTCCAGCTGTAAATTAGTTTAAGAGACTTAAGGGCAGAGCAAACAGCTGGGCAGTTGGAGTCTGGGACCAATGGCTTGGAACAACAAAGAGTTGGATAGGAGACATTGAATCAACAACTGGCCCTGTTGATTAGGTGGAGGTGATGAATCTCTGTCCCCTGCTCTGTGCTGGCTATTCCAATTGACTCCAAGTATGGCTCCTCCTAGAAAGCACCTAAATGGGTTGCTTGGGACACTGGGCTCTGTGAACCTAAGACCACTGGGGGCTCTGTGAAGAGACCATGGCTGGTTGTCAGTGGGCACTACAGGCTGCATGAGGTTGAGCTCAAACCATTGCCTCTGGGAAGTCAGGCTGCTACCTCCTCCTGTTTTGGCTGTATCCTGGTAGTCAGAATCTCTTGGATATGGGTCTGTGTCTCAGAGACATCATGTGTGTCTGTCTCCTGGAGATTATACTGGCCGAGCCCTGAAGGATCCACAGCATTGGAACCAATAAGTTCTGTTAAATGATTGTCAAGTGGATAAAGGACAGTAGACACCATCTTTTGGGATAGGGCCACAAGGAAGCCACAAGGAGGAGGGGGTAAGTAGAAGAATGAGTCCTTTAAAAGTGCTGCAGTCTCCAGTGTGCTCCAATAAAATAGCCATGATAGAATACAGAGTAGTCCATGAAGACTCACACAACTGGACTATAAGGAGAAGGGGACCTTGAAAAGGACCCAGTCAACAATAAGTCAACAGGCAAAGAGGAGCTTTCACTACGGAGGTTACAGTCAGACTTCCCTGCCTTTGCTCAAGCTGCTCCTTTCAGCTCCATTAAAGTTAAATCCAATTCCCCATCTATAGAAATCCTCTGTTTTGTGGTTTAGATCTGGGTTGTCCCCAAAAAGCTTCATGTGCTTAAGTTTCTTGGGTCACAGTGGTGCCAAAGCTGACTTGCTATTGAGAGGTGGATGTGGCTAGAGGTAGTGGATCCACGAGGCATGACCCAAACCTCCCAGGCTCCTCCCTTCTCTTCCTGCTTATGGTCATCATTATTTGAGCAGATTTCCTCTGCCACCATCCTGTTTCTGCATTGGAGCCAGCTGAGCATAGACTGAAATTTCTGAAAGTATGAAGAAAAAAACCCATCTTCTCCTTTAAATTGGGGTTGTTAGCTATTGTGACCAAAAAAGTGACTAAAACGTTCTTTCTGTACCTCCTCAGTAGCCCTCCAAGGTTCTCCAATTACAGCTTCTTGCTCCCTCCTCTACACCTCCAGCTGTCTCTGTGGACCTTTGACTGCAAAATAAGTGAACACAGCAACCCCCAAATTAAGGAAAGGCTTTCTGGTATCACACAGGGCCTGCAGAAGTCACATTGAGTGCATTGAGAGGAAACCAAAAAGAATCAGAGCAGGGAGGAGGTGGCCATGACCTGCTGGCCACTGGCTTGCAGAGACTGCTGGCCACTCAGTGTTGCTTGCTGGCAACACTCTTACTCCCGGACAAGTGCAAACTGTAGCCTGGGCAAGGTTTTGCTTGGCTGCTTGCCCGTAAGTGCAGCAGTGAAGGAACTGGCCTGAGAACTGACCAAGACCTTGGGGCTGAGCCACAACACTCTACAGAGATAAAGGCATCTGCTTCTTCTCCTGGGGGCCAGGGTGAGGCTATCATGGGTGTGCAGAGGCAGGAAAAATGACCTTGTGGAGATGACAACAAGAGAACCATGAGTCTGACTGAACACACTCCTGTAGAGAGGATCAGGGTAACTGAGGAGTACAAAGCACCGAGGGTTGGGCCTGTTATGGGGTAGAAAATAGTTAACAGACATGACGTGTCCATCATCTACCTTCACAACAATCTGGATCAGACAACATACTTTTATCTGGATGGTTAGGTGACTTTCAATTGCTTCCTCCCCTTCTGATCCCAGCCAGTCAGGCTGGGTATTTTATGGTCTGATCATAGCTGTACATCTGTTTCCTAGCTCTCCTAAGAATACCACTCCTTGCTTTCTTTATGGAATATCACCTCCAGCATGAGATCCTTGAGGATGGGAAACTTTTCCACTGATTTCCACTGTCCTCCCTGTGCCTCACAAAAAAATGGCAGGGTTAATACAAAGGACCCTCTCCCCCTTCAGTGAATGATGCATCAGTGAATAAGCATCCTTTGCTGGAGGCTACAAGGGTTGAATGATGGTGCCAGGCACCCAGGAGCCTGAGTGGGCATGTTGAGATAGGTTGGGAACAGGCCCAGTGAAAGGAGTGGGGGCTGAGTGGGAAAGGCTAGAACTGTGTGAAAGCAGCACTTGCATATCAGAGTTCCTTGACAATACTGAGCTGAAGATAACAAGAAAGAGGCATCACCCACATGTGGGAGGTAGCTGATTAGAAAGATCCAGCCTGTTTTGCATTGCCTTCCCACAGCCCAGGATTCTACCAGACCCATCCAGATAAAACACATGGGGAGTGTGAGGAAGCCTAGTTCACACGAAGGGCAGCAACATGGGTGTCCACAACTTTCTGGGAATTTCCTTTGCCAAACCACAACAAAGATTACTGTGGTTTGTGCCCCCTGAAGCTGCTGAACCCAGAAATGGTAGGAGGCATGGAAACTCCAACCATGCCATGTCAGCTTTCTTGGGAACTGGATAAATTCAGACCCTCATCTGAACAGGGGTGTTGCTCTGAGTTCTGAGTCTTTCATTTAAATCCTACAGCCAGTTTTCCTCTGCATTGGTGGGATTCCCCAAATGAGTATGCTGAGGCTCCAGAGGGTAGAATAACTTTGCCAGGCTTCTGGCTGAGGGCTTGACACCCAGAAGGTATTGTTTCCAGGTTCTCAAAAACAAACTAGAGACATAATGTCCCCAGATTTGAGTTATTCTAACTGTTCTCTGCCTTCAGAAGTGTTTCTGGGAAAGGTTTGGATTGTGTCTGAAAGTGTAGGAGCCCTGAATGCAGAAGTAGACAGTAAAATATCCCTGAGGAGTGCAAAGTAGTGGATCTTTGGGGACCCATGCTCTGCACCCACTATGCCAATCAAGAACATCAGGTGCCACTGGCAAGAAGCAAGTGTATGTTCTTATAAGAAAAGACTGATAGAGATGAGATTCCCTGAGTGTCTGGTTGTTTGATGAGGGACACCTCACTGCTCTTCTGTGAGACACTAACCTCCTTCATCCATGCAGCACCAGTGGGGGAGCTTCTCCCTATCCAAGACTGAATATATACAGCAATAAGTGGTGAGTGCCAACACTTACAGCCAATGGTTCTCACAGAAGTAAGAGTACGAATCAAGAGTAAGAATTTTTCAGCTCCTAAAAGGAATAAGATCCAAGGCCCTCGACAACCTTGAAGCCTCTCTGGAAGTCTGAGCTCCATCCCAGGTCCCCAGAGCCCATGTCCTGTGCCTTGATGGGGAGGGACTTTTTAAAAGAATTATACATAAACAGGTCATCAGTGAGATTCAGAACTGAGGTTAGTTCAGAGCAAATCTGAACCCAGGGTCTGGTTTTGACCACTCCACAGGTCCTGGAAAAAGCTTCTGCTATTGATACATGGTATCTGCAAATCCTAGCATAATGAATGCAGAGGGTCTGAACCTTTTGAATTTGATCCTATGAACTACTCCACCTGCCCATGCTGATAAGGACTCTACATTGCCTAGGAGTATCAGATAGTGATCAGCTGGGGTTTGGAGGAAATTTGTTCTGCAAGAAGATTATGGATATGTAGTTCAGTAGTAAAACTATCAACCAACATTCGTGAGGCAGTGGGTCCAAGCTCAGTCCATGACAACAAGAGCAACAGTGAATGTGAGAGAGAGACCCACCTAACCTCACCCACACACCACCAAACTGTTGTTGCCTGCAGTATTTGGTGACCTGTCCACAGAGAGTACTGGGAGGACAATCAAGAACCCAGACTCTCAAAGTCCAGCATTAGAACGTGATGGAAGACTTTATGCTCATGAGCCCTGCACTTGAAGTAGCGTATTTTCAGTGTGAGCACATCTGCAACTGAGGTGTGACTCCCTAGTGGGCAGTTCAGAGATGTGGGTCGCAGGTGAGGTAAGTGGTATTCGGGTCTACACCCATGCCTTTGTTGGGTCTATGACACCAGGCATTTACATCTCTTATCTCAGGAAATCCTCATGGCTAGTGTAAGAAACAGACAGTAGCTCCCACCCCCACGTTGTACAGATGAGGAAACTGAGTTTAGTAATAATCAGTAAGTTGCTCAAACTACTCACCTAGGAAGTATAATGTCA